TGTCAATATCACATATCTCCATGTTGACGCCTCAATTATGAATGGTAAAGCAGCTGGGGGAGCGATCCTTAGGAATGGCAAAGGTACTTTCATGGCTAGTATTACAACCAATCTGAACTCTACAGACATCTTCGCAGCTGAGCTTGAAAACATTATCAATGCAATCCAGTGGGCTCAGAACAAGGTAACTACTCCTCTCATTCTCCATACCGATTGCAAAGCAATTACTGAGGCATTATACACGGACAGAGCTTGCATTAGCCCAACTCTCAAAAAGTTCAAGGATCTGGTTCAGGAGACGAATCTTATTGTTAAGCACGTTCAAAGAGATTTCAATCAAGCGTCACACCATCTCGCTAGATTTGCTATTATGTATTCCCACTTTGTTGAAACTCTACATTTTTGTTGTTTGCCTAGAGTGGTTAGAGGCTGTATTAAACTGGATGTATCAACTCCCGTGATTATCAATAAATAAAGCTTTATTTTAATATATATATATATATATATATATATATATATATATATATATATATATATATATATATATCTGAGTGTGTGTGTGTGGTTCCCCCCTGTAGAGATGGTCACAGGGTTGATTGGCGAACCACACCACTCGGGTTTGATCCCTAGAAGATGCAAATTCAGAGGAATTTTAAAGAGTTAAGCGTGCTGGCATGGGAGTAGCAGAAATGATGGGTGACCCCCATGGAAGTAGATTTGGGCTTATGAGGCTGGGCTTTAGATTGGGCTTACTTACGGCTTTCTATAGTGGGCTATCTACCGCGGGTGTTAACGGGCCCCGGGGTAGTCACGAGGTTATTGGGAAAAATTTTATAGATTTTGATGATGATGTATTTAGAATGTAATAGGGACTTTAGGTCTCCCCCAAATATTCAATGTAATTTTTCTTTTTAGAAATATTGTTAAAACCGAGTTCTTGAGATTTCCAATAAAGTTGTGATATTTCTTTAAGCGGTTTGATGCCTGAAGACTTAATCAAATTCTGTGATATGGAAATTGGATATCTTGATCGGAAATGTCAAAGACAAGTAAGGATTTCTCAAAGCAGATGAAAATCCTCCAATCTGGAAGACTACATGATAACCGGATGTCTCGCTACAACCCGCTGAAGGCTAAGTCATCCAAGTCGGAAGACTAGCGCGGATCTCTTTCTCACCCAGAAGACTGAGTATGACTCTTCCGAATTTGTCAGCTAAGAACCGGATGCCTCAAGAAAGACCGGAATTCTCAAAAAGCGGACAAGTGAGAAAAGACTTAGAAAATTATCAAAGTCTTGAATGAAGAAATTCTACCCGTTGGTAAGGAAAAATCAATCTCTTGATTTTCAACGGCTAGATTGAAGATAATTATGCTGATTCAAGAACAAATGACTCGAAGACAAAGTCTGGACCTCTAAAAATTGAAGAGCCTGTCCAAAATTCCTAAACAAGCACTAGAAGACAAATAGAGTAAAGTGCTACAGTCTAGAATTCTTGAACAACAGCTAGAAGATGGATTCTGTGGAAAAAGGAATCCCTCCTTAAACAATTGGGTATGTCCAAACACCCATTCCAACAAGGAATCTTCAAATCACAATCTTCATTCAAAATTGAAGCTAGCAAATGCAACGGATAGTCTATTATGATTCAACGGATAGATTATCCAATCTAGCTATAAATAGCAACCTTGAAAGACTAGAGAAGATATGAAAAGACGATGAGATAGACAACCACAACGAAGCAATCTCTAACAACAAAGCTATCTCATTCACAGTTAGCCCAAAAGGCTTGATAAAGAGAGATTTCTAAACTCCTTATCCAGAAGCAAACTTCTCCTCCTTCTAAAGAGCTATAGTATAAACACTTGAAGGTTTCCTTGCCTCAAGTACCACACCACGTTGAAGGATACAACTTTTGATCAAACTTATTGATTGAAAGGGGGTAGGTCAACTTTCTTACAAGTTGATCTTGCAAGTCCTATTGTTCGGACCTTGCAGTTGTTGAAGAAGCGTGACCTTCGAAGGAACAGCAAAGCCAGCACGAGTGCAGTAGCAACATTGGCCTTGCAAAGATATACCGTGCAGAAATTCACAGAAGTGTAATTGTTGGTTCATTTATTCAACAACCAACTACATAGTGGATTTTGAGGACGTAGAAGGATTACCCCACCTTCGAACCTCGTTAAAGTTTGCGTGTCTCTCTCTTTTATCTTTATTCTTACTTGCAATTATATTAACTGTGAAAACTAATCCATCCATATTGATTACTGCTCACTCTACCCACCAAATTCCGCACACAATCTAAAGTTCACAAGAACTCTAGATTAACACTCATTTTCACGTTTTCAAAAGAAACGAAAAAGTTTTAAATTTGTAACAAAGTCTATTGACCCCTCCCTCTAGACTTTGTATCTCACCATTTTGGGACCACCATATATATATATATATATATATATATATATA